AGTGGGGCAACTTTGTCCCCCAGGGACACTGGCTGTCTGGAGACCATTTTTTTTTTTTTGATGAGGAAGATTAGCCCTGAGCTAACATCTGTTGCCAATCCTCCTCTTTTTGCTGAGGACAATAGGCCCTGCCTGGGCTAACATCCATGCCCATCTTCCTCTACTTTATATGGGATGCCTGCCACAGCATGGTTTGATAAGTCATGCGTAGGTCTGTGCCCAGGATCTGAACCTGTGAACCCCGGGCCGCCAAAGCGGAGCACACTAACCTAACCACTATGCCACCTGGCCAGTCCCTGGAGGCCTTTTTGATGGTCACAATTTGGGGTGTCTGCTACTGCTCTCTAGTGGGAGGAGGGCAGGGTTGCTCCTAAACATCCTACAAAGCACAGGATGGCCCCACAAAGAATCATCTGGTCCAGATGTCAGTAGTGCTGAGGCGAGAAACCCTGGGAGACTGTGAAGTGGCTCCAGCTGATGGACGCAAAGAGCTCCAAGCATCGCCCCAGGCACAGCTATGCATTCCAGTATACTTTCACGTGGAAACATAAGTACAGGCTGTCATCCGTAACGATGCTACAAGACTGGGGGTAAAAATACTTCAATACAGTTGATAACCGAGAAATCGATTACTAAGCTCCCTGACTGGTTGTTTTACCTGAACTGACGAGCAGGAAGAGTTTCCCTTGCACTAACTCCAGGGTGACGCCATCTCCACTCCTTCCCTCTCTGTGGAACAGAATCCCATCCTTCTGCATTGTTTTAAATTTCAATGAAATGACATCTTTTACTGGAGTCCTGGTATTTTTAACAAATCTGTAAAGCAGGGAACTTTTCCCATCAAAATCAATCACCTCGGATCCTGCAGAAAAGATGGCACAAGTTGTTCCAAGAATCAGCATGATTCTCATTAATATGTTTAAATGTGTGGGGCCTTGCACACACACAAGAGCCACAAACACACACGGGCACATATGTGCACACACATGCACGTACATAGAAGCACGTATACACACAGAGGCACACGTGCACACACACGCAAACACACATGCACACACACATATAGGTAGTATGGTTCCAGCCCACCCACCAGGTGACACACCATTTCTCCCAGCAGGTGTTGATATATGAACAATATTTTTTTTCAAAATTCACCTATAGAAATACTCTTAGACCATTAGACTTGAATGCCAGCTGCCCCTTCACCTCATGGTCAGTGTCCACCACACGGCCTCACGGACACGCCTGCCTGAGCAGCGTCCTTGGACACATCTGATGTTCTCCATCCTCTGGTGGAGCTGAAATCGCTCAGGAAGTGGACCCCCTGCTCCTGACTGTGATCTGACTACTCATCGTTCTCACACAGACTCCCTTTAAAGAACCATTTTCTGCATGTAAAGATCATCCTGCAGAGACGCCCTCTCTCGCATTGGGGTCCTCCAGGACCACCCAGGAGACACAGTGATGCTGGCGGGCTTGAATGACTCCTTCTCTTGCCCTCTGTCCACCCGGGGAAGTAACAGAGTAATGGGCACCTCACCTCACCTGTTCTCACGGTGGCAGCTGCCCGGCCCCGGAGCCAGGAGGGTCTGTCCTGTGGGGCCGTGCCGGCTCCAACAGCTCCCGTCTGCCCCATCGGGGCACATGCTCCCTCCCTCTGTAGAACATGGGTCCACATTCCTCTTACACAAAGAGCAGGGCCTGGTCACCCAGAAGGTGCCCATTTAAAGGGGGAAAGGCAGTTATCCTGGAAAAACACCTGTAGCCACAAGGACCTCCGGCCTCCTCAGAAAGGGGTGACATGCGGAGGGCGTGGTCACTGAGTTGTAGGGAGCCTGGGGTGATACTGCGGTAGAGGGACACGGGCACGGGAGGGTAGTCAGGGCTGGGAGGGAGAGTTGATGAGAGGGGATGCTGTCGGCCTGTCAAGGGCACCCAGGGGTGGGTCCAGGAGCATTGACGGTTTGACTCCCCCTCCAGCCTCCATGTCTCCTGTGTCCTGACCCACGTGGATGGGGATGGCTGGGGGATATTCGACTGATTGGTTAATTTCTTCCAAGACAACATGATGGAATTACTCCTTCACATGCCTTATTTCTGACAAAACCCCAAAACTTATATACATGGATATACGTGTCATTTAAATGATCCATCCTATGTCAAATAAATGATTAATAACAACTCTTGCCCATTGTAGGAGGATATCTTTTTAAAATTCATGTTTTATTTTCTTACCTCTTATTAATGTACTTAGAAATAATTTATTTACCAGATGAACCATGAATAAATATTTCATTCTTTTTAAAAAGTATGTTATTTAGCCAATTATTCTTCTAAATGAAATTGGATGGTAACACAGAACTCCGTGTCAAATATGGTGTGTTCTGTGATTATCAATGTGCAGCAAACCAGGAGAAATGCCACCAGGCCCAGGTGAACCCCACTGGAGCCGCAGTGACGCAGTGCACCGGGCTCACGTCCCTGAGGGGCAGGGATGACCAGTGTTTGGTATTGACGCCAATGTGCAACTTGCTTTAGCCAAAGTTTTGCCCCAATGAATGCGTAGCCCAGATTAATACACTGACCATTTCTTCTCTCATCTACACTGACTTCAATGTAACTTTGTTTGAGCACAGCTTATCTTCTCTATCATGGAATGAATGAGTGAATGAATGAATGAACATCTCAACCAGTGGTGCTCAGAGAGCCCTCAGCACCCCACCATGGTCATGGACAAGGCCCGGCACCCCGCTGGCCATTCCCCTGGACATTGCTCTCTTGGGGTGGCCACGAGCAGAGGCTGTGTCAGTCCCGGTGTTGACATGAGATGGGACGCCATTGATGACCATAAGCGGTGGCCTGAGGATGGTGACCCCTGACCTCTAGGTCCTTCTCTGACTCCTGAGCACAGACAAGAAGCTCTCAGTGTAACAGGAAATCAGAGTGCTCTTTTTATTCTGACGATGAAATTTTGAAACATCACTAAGCTAGTTGTAAATGTTACAAAACTCGGAGCGTGCAGGTTAGAGGGATTATACTGTGAGGTTTCCTTTCTTCTTCCTTGTAATTTCTCATTTACTCATTCAACTGCCTGTCTGTTTTATATTTGGTTGGTTTTGTGTTTTATGAGCATATCAGATGTCCACGGTGATGGTTTTTGAAGATGAGATGAGATGAGGATCCTGGCCTCCCCTCAGGACCTCTGACGAGGATGGCGATGGATGACTAGCATCTTCTGCCTCTTTATGGCCTCTCCTGTGGCAAGGCACGTGCATACACACACAAACATGCAAACACAAACACAGGTGAACTCATACACGAACGTGCAAACACACACGGGGGAACTCACGCATGAATGTGCAAACACACACGGGAGCATTCACATACATGACTGTGCAAACACACATGGGAACACTCACACATGAATGTGCAAACACACATGGGGGAACTCACACATGGCCATGCCAACACACACGGGGGGACCTCACACATGACTGTGCAAACACACACACGGGAACACTCACACACCAGAGACAGAATTCTTTTCATGTAGGGAGTTCCTGCAACCAGAAAATCGTGTCAAGGGTTCCTCCAGGGTGACATGGCTGAGAACTAACCCAGAGTCCTCTGTCTGAAGGCCCCGGGGGTCGCTGTTGGGGTTGAGGGCAGGCAGCCCTCCTCCTCCGATGGATCGTGATGCCTCTTACCAACAGGAGACGTCTCCGTCCACTGTCCATCAATCGTCAGATTGGCTTTCATGATGCTGGTATGTCCCCACCATCCAGAGTGGCAGTAATTGCCCCAGACCCTCCCCCGAGGCTGTCACTCGAGTGCACATCTCAGAGGCTGCAGGAAGCTCCACGGTCAGCTCGCATCTGTGTTTGGTACAGAAGGCCTCGCAGTCTGACGGGCTCTCGCCGACCAGGATCTGCTGACCTAACAGGAGATTTTACTAGGTTTCTTCTCCATCGGGGAAGGTTCTTTAGCGAGGTGGATATTTCTCCCTCCCCTGCTGTGTTATTTTCTCCTAACGTATCCTGAATGGAAGGAGCTCACAGCAGACGCGGCGCAGAGCAGCAGGAAGGTCCGCCTGTGGCTCCTGCTCATGACTCCTTCTCAGTACAGAACACACCGTCTCACGTTCACATAACTTCACAGTCGTGTTAAACTGTTGACTCGTGATCACAGTGTTGGAGAACCCACCTTTCCCTCAGGCAATCTGCATTTAATCAGATAATCCTTACACCCAGAAGCTGCAGTATTTGGTCCACTCTGAGCCCAGACCCTCTTCTGGCCTTAACGTCAGACCTGGAGCTGCTCTCTGAGGCGGCGTGGAGGAGGAGCAAACCCTTTCCTGGGCTGGCGCCCCTGCCCCCTCCACCGCACTCCTGATGATGCACTCGCTTCTTCACCCATTTTCCCGCCCGTAGACTAGTGAACGGCACAACGATGCCTCAGGATGTGCAGGTTGCCATGGGGACAGAGCGGGTTGCCATGGGAGCACATCAGCATGACACCAGCCTGGACTGGGGGTGCCGGGAGTTATCAGAAAAGGAGGAGAACTGGGGGCTGATTCAGAGCCAATGGGCACAGCAGTGGACGTGGGAAAGAGGCCAGACCAACGATACGTCCTTGGGTGTTCAGTGTACAAAACTCAGATCCAGTTTCTAGTGCAGTGTGACCGTCAGGGTGAAGAGTCGGTGCTGTGAGGGGCGTGAAGAGCTGCTGAAACTCACCATGCGATTGTGATTTGTGTACTTTCCTGCATGAATAGTACTCCTCGAAAAGTCTGTTTTTAAATAAACAGTGAAGGCTGAGTGTGGTAGACATCAGGGCTTGTCTGTGCAAAGGCCCTGCAGCTACTGCAGATATCATGGTGCCTTCAGAGGGCTGAGACTGGGTGGTCCTGGCTGCCCAGGGGAGCAGCCCCTTCCTCCGCTGCCTGGGGTGGGCAGGGGGCGCAGTCCTGAAAGGGGGGCAAAGGGAAATGGCTCCGGGAATTAGGACTCAACCAGGCTGCACTGAGGGGCCCCCTGGGCAAGGACAATGCTGATGTATCGATTGCGTTGGCACTCGGGCAGATGCTGCTCGCAGCAGCCTGAGGTGGCATTCCCAGGGGTCGAGAGGCCCCCCCTGGGGCTGCTGTGGTCATTTGGGCCAAGTGTGGTGGTGGGACCCAGACCAAGAGTGAAGGATGAAGGGGTGGGCGGGTGAAAATAAAGTGAGGAGGCAGACTCTCGGATCGACTGGGTGTGAGGCCGCCCTGGGGTAACTGGTTCCAGTAACTCAGGAGGTGGGGCCGCGCACCGAGGGTGAGGACGCGGTCCGAAACAGTGCTGGGGATGCCCAGAAGGAATGTGGTCAAAGGAGGCATACGGAGCAGGGGGATGTGGAAGGCTGTGTCCCAAGAGGTCTGTGTGGAAGACACAGATAGACAATAATGTGCAAAGTGACCAGTGGCCTGGAGGGACGTTCCTCACCAAGAGAGGGGGAGACAGAGGCTGTCCAGGCAGGGCCGTCGCTCCCAGGTACAAATGGCCCTCCTTGACCAGAGCACCGCCAGCTCCCCTGAGCCCCACTGGGCCCTCCTTGGCCTGTCCTCAGCCAGCACAGTCCAGTTTCAGCAGGAATCCTGCTGAGTCAGAGTGGAGAGAACCCCACCCCGAGGTGTCCTCTTGCAGATTCTCCATCCACTGCGCCTGCCATCGGCATGAAGCCCCGGCTTCTTCACTGTGTTCAGGGACAGCCCGAGCTCGCCCCCATCGCAGGAGTCCTGAATAAAGCTTCCCCATCGTCTGCTCAAACACCAGGAGTCCACAAACGTACGACAGACGGTGGTGCTTCAGGCGAGGTGAGAACTTGTGGGAAGGACCGCGGGTGCTGGGCGAGCCGTGGAGACCAGACCAAAGGGAGGCTAGTCCCCAGGCCGCAAGCCCGCGAGGAGCAACCCGGTTTATCCCGACAGCAAGGTCAGAGCCTGGAAACCAAGGGCGTGAGAAAAAGCATGGCCGTCCAGGGGCCTGTGCAGGATGACCAGAGGTGGGGACGTCCAGGTGGGTGGGTGGGATTCCCCTGCACCAGTGCGAGGGAGGAAGTCCAGTGAGCGCGTGGAGGAGAGGGAGGAGGGGACCTGCTCCTGGACACGCTGTGGGGCTGAATTCGTCCTGCCATTTTCACGAGTAAAGCATGAACAGCTATGTCTCTCATTGACGGTGATAAAGAGGCAACCGTCCCCCACTTCCTGGAGCAGACGCCGGGCTGTGCTGCAATCACGGTGATATGCATACCCCGTGTTCCCAGTGCTATGGTTTTGCTAAATTTGGGTGCTGCTGGTCCCAGGGAAAAGGCACAGCCAGGCTCCCTCGGGGCCCGGGTGGGTGGTGCCGTCCTAATGCGGCTGTGGTAATGGCAGATCCTTATCAAAGCCCATGTGCCCCCAGAAGGAGGAACTCACGAGAGCGACAGAGCAGAGAATGTCCAGTGTCAGAGTCTCAGCCCAGTGACCCACCGTCCAGGGGTTGAGGGGCAGAAGGAGAACGTGCTGGCGTAAGGAACCCCTGGAGGCCAATGCCTCCCAGACAGGGGTGCCAGGGAGGGGAGGGGGTGTCGTGAGGAAGGACAGGTGCCTCGACGGGCTCCCTTGAGTTCAGCATGTGGGGGTGACAGCGTTGGCCCCCAGTCTGGCCCCCGTGCTCTGGGTGTCCCCTTGATGGACCCTACATCAGATGCTTGTTCCCCCACTGTGCATAGCTGCAAACTCCCCTCGTTGACTCCCAACTGCCCAACCTCCTGCTCCGCGGCCCAGGCTGCCAGCTCTCACCCTTGTCCTACACAGCAGGAACACAGACTCACCTTCCACGTCAAATCCCTAATGTGATTCTCTGCAAAAAACAAGTCCTGCCAAACGCTGACATGGTGAATGAGGATGCTGCTTAACGCAGCCGACAGACAGGCCCTAACTCTGGGAGCCTTGGTTCACATCTGTGTGGGAAGAACCCGCCCACGTGGGCCTGTGGGTTCTATGAAATAACCAAAGAGACAGAGAGAGAGACAGACAGAGAGAGAGAGAGACAGAGAGAGAGAGGGACAGAGAGACAGAGAGAGAGAGAGAGACAGAGAAGGGAGAGAAGGGCCACGCCCCGAGTGCTGAGAGCAGACCCTCAGAAGATCCAGGAAGAATGGCCTGGAGTTTTATGCCAGGTTTATACAAGAATATGGAAGTGGAATCTAGGCCTGTTAAAGAATTTAGGAAAAGCACCCCCTCTCTGTGTCTTTGCTGAGGACACGACCGACCTCGAGGGGCCCTGCCCTCTGGGCCACACGTACTGTATGGGCATCCGTAGGCCTCAACGCGCATCCCGATGCGGCCATTGGGGCTCCAGGCAGAAGGCAGAAAGCGCAGGTGTCTGGCCTCCACGGGTGGCCGCAGCCTGTGGCGCACCACGCCGTCCGCGTTGGCGTTTCCGGGGAAGCCCTGCAAGAGAGCGGAGGCTTCAATGCACCTGCCGCGGGGTCTCCGCGCTACTCGGAGAGTTAAAGAGGCACGAAAATCCAGAACCATCTCCCTGCCGGCCACCGGGATTTGCAGTCACAGAGCAAGGACACCGCCTTGCCCCTTGCAGGGCCAATCCCACCGGGTCCCCTGTGCTCAGCGTCAGCCCTGGAGCGCCCCGTGCTTTGTCCTCTTTCCTCCCTGACACACTTCATCTCTGAGGCCCCAGGCCGGGTGAGCTCACGTTCTCCGTGTGAGAAGGACTCGGAGGTGTCTGCAAGGTGCTCTTGATGCCCCATCCTGCCTTCCCTGGCGGCTCTCGATCCCTGAGACACCTTGTCCAGGGCTGGATGGAAGCTGATTCGCACCCTAACACCAGCTGGACTCTGGAACCTCCTGCACAGCTGGCACTGAGAAACCCTTGCCACGTGCACATGGGGCCTGACCTCAGGGAGCGAAGATGCACCCTCCACACACACCCGGGGGGCAAACACGAGACAACATCAAAGGGATCCACACTGGAAACTACAGGTCCTAGCACCAGCATCCCTGGAAATGACAGTAATCAACCCTCTTGATGGTGACACCGGGACCAGGTCCAGGGAGGTGAGATTTGCCGAGGCCCATGGCGGCTGCGGCTCAGCCTTTCGATTCCCTTCCTGCAGCCCCACCAGGCAGGGCTGGTCCCTGCTGTGGGGAAGAGGGGGTGGGTGGGGCTGCTGTGTGCTGTCCTTAGGGGAGGGTCACCCCCAGGTTTCCCAGCATGTGGAACAACATTCCCCCATCCTCGGGCCTTTGCCAGGCTGTATGTTCTGTCATCCTGGGACCTCACTATGCTTGGCTGTCACTGTCCAAGACGCGTCTTTGCTGAGCTCTGAGTCCCATGAAGGCTCCCGGCCCTGTGTCTTCACAGCCTTGTTCCCTGGGGCCTGTGTTCGCTTGTGCCCCAGATCTGATCTGTGCTCCCAGCGCCCGATTGTGCCCAGAGACCCTCAGAGCAGGGACGGGATGGTCTGGAGAGCTTCTGTGCTGTGAGGGTGAGGTCTCCAGAGGGATGGAGTCCGCCCTGCCTCTGACCACAGCCTTGGGCTAAGATCTCACAAATAAACACGTGCAGTCCCCTGGGCTGCCTGAGGACCCCGAGGGCAGGCCGTCCCCTCAGCCCAGCCTTCTGCTCACAGGAACAGACTCCGACTGCTCTCGGCCACCCAGAGGGCATGGATTCATCCTAATCTCATCGTGGGTGCGTGAGAAACACCACAAATGTGCAGACAAGTGCCTGGAAGCAGAGTCCATGGTTCACTACAAAGCAAACGCCCATCCCGTGTGGCGACCGCGGTCCCACGAGCAGGACTCCAGCACCGCAGCCCGGCTGGACCCCACATCCCTAGGGGCAAGTCGTGCCCCGAGGTTTGACTTGTCCTTGGAGACAGAGTCCCTGGGTCCTATGGGGTACGAGCAGGCTTGACAGCGAGGCCATCCCCACAGAGCGTTTCTGCCTCACAGTTGCACGGGCAGCTCAGAAGAGGGGTAGAGAGAAGGGCAGCAGGGACGAGAGCCGCAGACCAGCACCCAGCCCGGCCCTGAGGTACCAGGGTATGCGCAGTGCCCTTCCCGCTGCCCTTCTGTCTGGCTCTCCCTCCACCCTTCTTCCTGTCTCCTCCCTGAGCAAACCCTGACTCCAAACCCTCGCCTCAGGCTCTGCTTCTGGGCCCAGACCAGGACACGGTTCACCTGGAGGAGGTACTGGCAGCACTTGCCCCGTTCGCCCTCCACCTGCCCTCAGGGAGGCTGCCTCCAGCCTCCCCACACCTGGTGATGTCACCTAGAAGGTGTTTGTGGCCGACATGATGTGGATTTGATTTTGTGAGGGAGCCTGAGCCTCTTCCAGGTGCTTGCTGGGCCGTGGGGTCTCCTCGGTCGGGATTTGCCCAAGTCTCTCCCGTGATTCTACCTGATTCTCTATTTCTAATCAATGCAGAAACCATGCATTATGTAGTCAGAGTCTGTGTCAGAATTACTAGGTCTCTATTTGGAAACAATTAAGTTAATTATATCAATAAGTCCATTATAATGCCGTATATTAGCTATGGTGTCCCAGACGTGTCAAGATCTACTCTTTAAAAATCCATACCAGCACTAAAACTACATAAAACAGAGAGCCCTACTACTGGGATGTGAGAACCATTATCAAACACCAATGCAGAGACCAACAGACAAAAGAGCTTTATAAACACCGTTCATGTAGGTAAGCCAGAGGACGCAGAGGGAGAAGTTGTCTGCAACGTTGTCAACTCAAGTTGGTGTTTCTAGATGGAGCTGACCTGTGCAGTCAGCAGGAAGCACATGCAGCTACTGAAGGTCTGAAAGGGCGAATCAGCCGCCGTCTGTCAGGAAAGAGACTCAGATAAACGACAGTGCTCCCCTTCACAGCTCTAGCACATGCATAGTAACAGAAAAGAGCAGGAATAACAGGAAGCAGATAATAACAGAGAAACAAGCCTAGAGAGCAGAGACCGCCATTTCCTTGAGCACGCGGACAGCCTGACGTTGTCCAGTCTGGTGTTGGGGGCAACGTGGGGCCTCAATCATGGATTGTGCGCTCGGGTCCCCTAGGGGGCAGAATGGAGGGCGCTGGTCGCTGCTCACGTCACCTCAGAAGGAAGGCCACTGGGAGGAGCGACACAGCGAGCCAACAGCCCACAGTCCTCCTAACACGCTTTGGGTGGAATTAGATTTTTCTGAAATATTTGTGATGTGAGGTCCATAACCAGGTTTTGTTATTGAAAAACGAAAAATCCGGTGCTGCATCAGGTGTCCCAGAGTCTGTCCTCATCGTGTGTCTAGACTTCATGTACATGGCAGCTAATTCAGGAAGGAACGCAGGGCTGGGGGATCAGCTTGGGGGGGGGTGTGGTGTGTGTGTATGTGTGTGTGATGTGTATGTGCGACCTCCTCATTATGCGAGCACTGTGTCTCCCTAGGTCGGTGGTCTTCACCTTCAGTGTGGGTCAGAATCTCTTTGAGAGGCTTTATCATGGCGGTTCCTGGGTGCTGCCCTGTGTGGCTGTTGCAGGAAGGTCAAGTTCTAGGCACGGAAGTTCCTGGGGTCTCGAGAGTCTGGGTGTCTGGAGCTGCGGGTCGGGAGGGGCTGATGGGGAGACCTCTAACTCTGGCCAGAGCTCTGGTGATGTGGCAGAGACACCACAGACCCCTGGGCCCTGGGTTATTAGATGATTTTATGTCATGTCATAAAGACTAAGGTCTACTTATTCATTGTATAAAGTCACAACTAAGCTTCAGCCTTAAATTAACCATATTAATTACGGTGTAAATAATTCACTTTTAGCTAAGTAAAAAAGTAGTTTAGTGAAGAAAATAAAGATTTCAATTCTGCTCACATTCATCACAAAGCAGGAAAATACATTTTATACAAATGCCTCATTGGTCTTTATCAGTTTGTGTTTTTTTATAGACTCCAAGATCACTTTAAGAGGTGCCTTTCAACTTTCTATTTAGGTCTTATTTAATAACATAAAATATAATACAATAGGATATATAATTATAATATTAAAAACTCCATTAAAATAGCATTAATTTGCTGGTGGAAATGAAAATTAGTACAGCTACTATTGAAATCAGTATGGAGATTTCTCAAGAAATTAAAAATAGAAATACCATATGATCCAGCTATCCCACTACTGGGTATTTATCCAAAGAATATGAAATCAAAAATCCAAAGAGGCTTATGCATCCCTATGTTCATTGCAGCATTATTCACAATAGCCAAGATGTGGAAGCAACCCAAGCCCCATCAACTGATAGATAAAGATGTGGTATACATGTACAATGGACTACTACTCAGCTATAAAAAAGACAAAATCGTGCCATTTGTGACAACATGGATGGACATTGAGGGTATTATGTTAAGCGAAATAAGCCAGACAGAGTAAGACAAACTGTATGATTTCACTCATGTGGAAGATAAACAAACACATAGATAAGGAGAACAGACTGGTGCTTACCAGAGGGGAAGGGTGTGGGGAGAGGGTGAAAGGGGTAAAGGGGCATATATGTATGGTGACGGATAAAAACTAGACTACTGGTGGTGAACACGATGCAGTCTATACAGAAGGTGAAATACAGTAATGTACACCTGAAATTTACACAATAGTATAAGCCAATATGACCTCAATAAAATAATAATAACAAAAACTCCAAAAACATGTAATATCCTAGCTTTTCACATCTTGCAAATGGCATTGGACTGTGAAAGAATGCAATGAAAAACTCCCAATATACTTGTGCATAGAACAACAAATAAAAATAGCCCAAATTTAACATTAAAATTTCATGGTTGATGGACTTGTGGGCAGTGCTGGGTTTTTCTGACCGCCTCCTCCTGATGAAGGTCAGGCCGCACATTTGGGCAAGAACACAGCGTGGTGATGGTGTGAGCCTTTTATAGTGACCCATCAGGGACATGGTCTCAGTTATCCACTCCTGGTGACATTAATTTTGATCACTTGGTTAAGAGAGTGACTTTTGTTTTTGCAACTAGTTATTGAGATAGTCTGGTTCTCTGAGCTCATGTGCACATCCTGTTCCAGAAGACATCTCATGCAGTGGTTCAGGATTCCTTAATGATCCTTGCCTGAACCAACTACCACATTGGGTTTAGAAAATAGTGATTTTGTAATGTTAGCATTCCTTCAGATGGAGTCCTTAATGCTCTTCTATTTAGAAAAATTCCTCTCCCTCTCTTTTCTTTTAAGATGCAGGAAGATTAACAGCTCCTATGTAATATGTTACAACTGTAACATATGTAACATGTACAGAAATATGTAATATTTCTCCAACTGTGCAAATTTGCACACGGGAGACCCTTCACTAACCCCAAGAGTGTGGAGCCCTTCCTCCCAACTCAGCTCAAGCTGCCTGTCACTGCTTGTCCTCAGCTCCTCTTCCAAGGAGCCCTGGTTCCTTTTAGGACCCAAGTTCTGGACGCTGTATCACCTGCTTTAATATTTCAGGAAAAGCAGCAGACAAGTTTGCAGTTTTATCAACCTTCTGATATTTGTTAACAAAACAAGTATTTAGTGTATTTGCACGTGTTTCAAAATGTATTCAGATACCGTATGGTAATACAAGTGCTGCTTATCTGAATTTTAAGGAATTGCATTTTGTAAGTTATCTATAACTGCAGCTATTTCCTTAAGCTGTCAGACAGAGCAATTGCCCTAATAGATGAAGAAATTAACCACAGTGAGATTTGAGGAGGCTGGTGATACAGTGTTTGAGAATTCCTAATATAAAGGTCTTATCTCTTATGCTAAATTAATGCTTATCTTTATAAAAACAAACATGCAGAGTCTACCTAGCCTACCATATATTCAAACTTGGCTTTGAATCTTCCAAAATGGACCTGGACCCTCATGAATATAATAACTATGGATTAGAGGACAGAAACGAAGACCTATTCTTGCTTTATGTCCTCAAATCTGAAAGTTACATTTCTATCTTCATAGGAACAAGTTTTCTCCTTGAAAATGCACTGCTTCTGCCAGCTCTTCAGAAGCTCAAATGCTGATTCAGCGATGCAGATAATGGATGAGGTGGAATGGCACAGCATCGGGTTCAGTACCGGGATTTGGAATCGACAGACCATGTAGACAGACGGTGTAATTCCAACTCTCTTTTTCTAATAGACACGTAACCTTGGGAGGGGTGATGCCTCATGGTAAAGCAGGGATGGGGAGATTTACTTGAGGAGGTTGAGGGCCCCAGGTTACAGTGTTGATGGTCTGAGCCCACTCACATCCAATAACTCTTACAGCTTTCCTGTCAGTTCCCAGAGACATGAGAACATCTCAGCTCTGTCATGGACACAGAACTGATTTGCTGTAACATGGACAACACCCAACAGCTTTAAAAGCCCCACGGTCATTCTTCAATTCAATAATCAAAACTGATTATGGTTTCATAAATGCTCACAATAAGTCGCCTTCTTTGAAGATGTATAAGAGTGACCAAGATGGGGTTTTCTGGCTATGAATAGTTTTCAAAATAATATATTCTGGAATGAATGACCAATATTAAGGATTAATCTCTAATAAGTCAAATCTCTATTTCACTCTGTTTGTCCATCCTGCCAGTAAAATCTAAAGAACAAAACCTCATATCAAAAGTCAGGATTTCTAAGTAATCTTCCCTTTGCTACACAATTCAGTTTCAACATGAGAATAAACAAGAATCAATTCTGTTGTCATGAGTTGTACAGATGGTCTCAGGATAATGTCCCACCACTTCTGGTTGAGGTCACACATGTCCAGGTAGACAACCTACCCCAAAGGGACTCATCAATGAGAGATTTACTGATCACAATTATATTTAGGAAATCACTTAACTCTTGTCGTGTGTTTAGAATTGAGTCAAACTTCCCCCATGTTTGAAGCACATGTGTGTTCAGAGAACACTAATTTGAAAATACGAGTGATACCCGATTAGAACAATGAATTCAATTAAAGGTTGCTCTTTTTGATAAACATGAGTTAAGCTGTGAGTAATAATCAGCTTCACATGATCTCATTTAATGCTTGAGAAAATGTTGGAGAAAGTTGGATTAAACCCACGATATGTGAGTTTGCGTCAGAATGTCATGCAGATGTTCTCCTCAGGAACCTGGCGAACCCCACTTCCAGCTGTTCTGGTGAGAACCACGGATGCTCACTGGAATCCTGGGTTCTCATTCTGGCTTCTCCTGCTGCCTATGCTGACCCGGGCCTGCCCTGCACACCCCCACAGGCGCTGGAATGAGACCCTCTCTGCCTACCGCACCCATCAGGGTTTCAGCAAAGCCAAGGGCACCTGAAACCTGGTCACCTGAGGATGGAGGAGCAAGGGGGTGGCTTACGGAGGTGCAGGCAGATGGAAGGGACCCCGGGGGACAGGGGCACCACATCACAGTGGGGCAGGGCAGGGTGGCCCTGGGGTCTGTGAGGCGTCTGTTCATCTGGCTGTGGCATCTCTGGGTGACAACACTGAACAGAGTGTGTCCCCGGAGGGGCTGTGCAAGGACATGCGATTACTAGCACACTGCCTCAGGCACGTTGACAAGGTTAGTGTTGTCTGATTAAGGTAACTTGGTATCTGTGATGTCTTTTATTTGAAGACATTGAATTAATTCAATTTAGAGCATTAAAAATGTGTACCCTGGAACCAGCGGTCGATGGAATATTACGAAGCAACTGAAACGCTGCTCTGGTAGATGACTGGACAGGCGCATGTGGCCTGAGGCATCATCAGGTGAACAACGTAATTAGGAGGCATGGACAGTTAGAGCCAGGACAGCGCGAGAGAGAAGGCCCCGGAGGAGCTGTCAGTCCCA